TCCCTCCATATCCTGACTCCTCCAGGCAGCTCCACCCTTCCCCTCCCCTCTAATGGAAACTGCTCATCTTCTTCATCTGATGGAAAAGGAGCTTTCTGGAAGTCCACCACAACTTTTTTATTCTTTCAACACAGAAGAAAATCTGCACCAAGTTTTCTTTTTTTTTTTCTACAAAGTTTGAAATGTGTCTCCCTGTGTTCTAAGTTTACAGAGGCTCCATGGATTTGGTCAGATCTTCTGAACTGATCCAGGTGCAAATGGGGTTCAGATCTGGTCTGAACTTTGTCCAGATGAAGACAGCACCAAAAGTCAAACAGCAGTCCCAAGTCCCACATTATAGACTGAAGGGAGGGAGGGGAGGGGGGTCCACAGGGGTCCCACAGCTGCTGGATCTTACCTGAATTTGCACTCGACACCACAAAAAGCAGAATGACGGCTACAGAGAGATGAAGGTCTCTTCTCCTCCGTTTAAGTCTCCATCTGATCCGGGTATCCATGGCCGCCTGCGCCTCCACAGAGAGTGGGCTTCACTTCTCAGCTCACACAGCAACTGACTCAACCTGCAACAAGTTGTTCTCAAGACTCCAACTCCAACCAAGTCAAAAGTCCCAGAGAAAATTTAAAAAAAGAAGAAGAGAAGAGGGGGAGAGGGGGGATGTGTGAGGTTGTTTCTCAAGCAGCCATAGGGTTCGTTAGTGTGGCTCCTCCAGCTGGTTGACGGATGAGCTCCGGACCGCTCCTCTGCTCTCTGTGCTCCCCTCAACTGTCCCGCAGCCCCTCAGAGCTCGAGACTCCCCCCACTTTACCACACACACCCCCTCCAGCACACACACACACACATACACACACACACACACACAGGCACGCACAAACGCACGCACACACACTCAGGGGGGGGGGAAAAAGTTGCAGCCCCCCACCAGCTCCACCCACCCAGTGCTGTCAGTCAGCTCCGACTGCAGACCCGAGCAAATCAGTCGGGTCGATTCATCAGAACCAGCCCCGTTTCTGTCCCGGAGGGAGGGCGGGAGTGGGAGGGCGGGAGAAAGTTTCCCCTCCTCTGACTCCTGCAGGAGAAGAAGCGGGAAAACCAAATTTATGAGACCTCACTTAGAGAACCACCGAAATGAATTTATTTTAATCCAGAAAGAAAAACGCACATGCTGCTGTTTATTATAAAGATAATGTTGGTTTATTTGTGTCTTGAACTTTTTATCTGGTTTATATTTTTTAATTTTTTCTGGTTTCAGTCACAAAGGTTGTGATTTTCCTACCTCATTCTATATATATAGTTTTATTTTCAGAGTTGTAAAGTAGCTAAGTACAAATGCTTTGTTACTGTACTTAAGGAGAAATTTTGCTTATCTGTACTTTACTTGAGTAATTATTTTTCAGCGTACTTTTTACTTTTACTCATTACATTTTAACACAATTATCTGTACTTTCTACTCACTACATTTTTTWAAAAGGTAAGAAGTAGAAAGTTGTTACTCCTATTTTATTCGGAGTTGTTATTACTTAAAAAATACTATCCTGATGAATTGTGTCTCCTGGATAGAGTGAATTTAATTGTGATTGGATGAGAAGTATAAATATATACATACCATTCTGACACACTATTAGCTTGTACACAAC